CATGATAGGGCCTTGTTTAGGAAGAGTCTAGAAACTTTGTTATATCATTGATGGACACTGCCGTTGGATTTCATTTGAATTTGAAGCTGCCAACGTCCTCTCGCGACCCACCACCAACGAAAACGAAATCTCAACCCCAAACAAATAAACAAAAGAAAAAGTTGGACAAGCCAATTACAAAAGCTAATTTGCTTAATTAGTATTTTGGATTGTTTTGTTTAGTGCTTTTGGAAAGCATTTCAATAATGTCTTTATTCAAGTTGCTTCTTGCTTCTGCTTTTGGTTTTTGATGGATCCATATTATCTTTAATGGTACAAAAATACAAACAAAATTTAGATGTCATAAATTTGTTGCAGTTTGACACGAGCAAATAAACTTAATTAATTAATCTTTTAAATTTTGATAAATTGTTCTTGTGTAGTATGTGTGACTATGATTTGCAAGCAAATATGAATATTTTTATATGTAAGACTCCAAAAATTATTCTAAAATTCAAATGCACCACACACTAAAATTGCTTCTTTTTCTTTCTTATTTTCTGTAGTTATATAGCATATGGTATTGCCAAAGTTTTGTTTCATACCCCAACTTTTTCCAGAGACTTTTCACATCAAAGTAGTTGAGAACCACATTTTACAGAAAAATACTGCAAACTCAGCTTATTTTGTTTTTTTTTTTTTAAGGCAACTGACTTTGTAACACTACTAAAAGAATGTTACAATTAAGAATTATTTAGAGTATGACAATTGAAAAAATGATGAGTTTAATCTCCAAGTGAAACTTTTGTAAGTAAAAGATATCAAGTTCGATTCCCGACAAACACAAATTCGAATCAATTATGAGGTTTAGCTCACTCTTTCACTCTCTTAGTACTCTAGATTATATGCAAATGTATCCAAACTTGTAGCTGTCAGAGTGTTTTTTCTAATTGTTATTTCTTCAATACAAAAAAAATTTCCTCAAAAGTCTTTCGAAACCCTAGTCCGTCAATTCAAAGTAAATCTAGCCTAACATCCATTGGAATTTAGTAGATGCATAACAAGACTACAAGTACTGTAAGTGAAAATTCCCCTACTTGTAGAGTTAACAATTGTCAATGCTACTCACCAAATATTAGTTTTGTTTGTTAGGTTGGAAGGTTGACGCAAAAATTGAAAATTCCAAATGGCCAAAAAAGTTGGGGATTCTCCAAACTCTGATAGTCTGATTTCAAACTATTTGACTGATTCTTCATAACTAACAGTCTCTAGATACTAGAACATCCCTCCATACAATCTCAAAGGTTTTTATTTATTTTTGAAAGGATCATGACATTCATCCAAGTTCAAGACCATTCATGACACACCCCGACCTAAATCGATGCGTGCTGGCCGTCACACCTCGATTTAGGTCGAGGTGTGTCAGTTTGGTATCAGAGCCAATCCATGGCCGGATGTGTGTCGACAAGGACGTCAGGCCCCTAAGGGGGATGGATTATAACATCCCACATCGTCCAGGGGAGTGGATCATGTAAGCCTTATATGTATATTCTCATCTCTACCTAGCATGAGGCTTTTTGGGAGCTCATTGGCTTCGGGTTCCATCGGAACTCCGAAGTTAAGCGAGTTCGCACGAAAACAATCTCATCATGGGTGACCCACTGGGAAGTTCTCGTGTGAGGTCCCTGAAACAAAACCGTGAGGGTGTGGTCGGGGCCCAAAGCGAACAATATCGTGCTACAGCGGAGTCGAGTCCGGAATGTGGTAGGGGCCCAGGCCGGGATGTGACAATTCACATGCATAACAGTCAACACTGCCACCCTCTAGGGCTCTGGGATGTGCCACCATTCACATTAAATGGCATGTATAAAGACTTATGGACCTGCATGGCCTGTTCTGTTTGATCGTCCTCAAATTTCATGTGCTTATTCAAAAAGTATGCTACTGCACCTAATATATGAGTTTTGGTGAGAAATGGAGGAGGGCCTTGGTCATAAAGTCTCTCCAGTGGCAGAGGATGATCAGGGACCGCATTCGAAGACACAGAGCTTACTGGGTCTTGATCAAGATTCAGTTTTTGTGTATAATGCGGTCTCTGATCATCCTCTACTTGTATATTTTTGTTTACGTTATATTATATTCAGTTGTCAACTTGTTATGAACATTTTCACTAATATATGAGTGAAAAAATAAGATGGATGAGTGAGAATAAAACTGCCTTTTTCTTTCTGATACATAAAATGTCCCGTGTGGAAAAAGGTTTTCAATCGCATGCAAAATAATGGCGTAGAGACCCCAAGTAGGAAATGTGGTAAATTCGTCAGTCGTGAATTATGTTTCCAAATTCCAAAGGCCACAGCAAAGGAAAAGATATGCATGTTGGGCCTTGGGCCTCAACTGCTTTTTAATTGTCAGCCCAATAACGAAACACATTTTACACGGTTTCTAAATTGAGTTTTTGTCACAAATTTTTTTGAAATTGATCTAATTTCTCGTAATAGTATCTAAAGTTAATAATCAATTAATGTCGTTCTTGAAAATTAGTGTCACAAATCAATTTAATCATTCTTTTTAAAAGTAGACTGAGATGTACATTATATATGGACCCACATGTCCAGTTAAGGGAGGTCATGTGAATTAAAAATATTAAAAAATCAATAACCAAAGGAAATTTGAAAATAATAAGTTAATAACAATAAAAAAACTGAAAATTACACCATTCCCCCTGCAAAACCCTCATACCCATTCCTCGACTGCCTAACTTGCCGCCGCAACATTAACTACCATCACACCTCTCTCTCTCTCTCTCTCTCTCTCTCTCTCATTCCCGACCGCCCTTGTCAGCGGCCATACCCAAAACACCTCCCGCCTTGCCACTCTAACATAACCCAGCTACCCAACAAAACCAAAACATCAATAACCACACAACCCAGCTACCTTTCTCTCTCTTCTCCCCCTCCCACCTCTCTCTGCCTCCTCTTTCTTTCTTTTTCTTTTTTTTTTCTCCACTTTGTTGCAAAGGCTTGTAGCATTCATCTTCCCTTGCACCCGATGTCTTGAGTTTGATTTTTATTTTCTTTGATATCGCAAGGATCAAAAACAGAAAGATAAATAAAATATTGAGGCTAGTTTCACATCGAACATGTTTAGCTTAATCAAGGCGAAGAAGTATTCAAACTTGTCGCTTCTTCTAATATTGGAGGGACTAATATCAAGTTAGTATAATGTGAAACGTATATTAGGGTTGAAAGCAGATTTTAAATCAAATGCAGGGATCAAAAGCAGACTTTTGTTATAAATGTAGCTCTCGGAAACTCATTTTTAGATCACTAATCAAACCAGCATAGAGTTTTTAGGTAGAGATACGAGTGAGTTTTTTATTTTCCGCCCTATCTATGTTTCCTAAACTCTTGTCAGAAACCTTGTTATCAAATATCTAATTATTGTGCAGTTACTATAGTACACAAGCATGTAATGTTACTATCGACGTGACGGTGTTACGAACTCAAGAAAAATCACTCGTCTTGCGATAATGCCAGCTACACTCCTCATGAATATCATGTGGAACCTTATCGCTTTCAGCAGACAATTGCAGCATTTCTGTGTCTTCCAACTCAATTGTAGATGTTGCACCATAACATTTTCTGTCACTTAAAGTAAGCTAATATTCTAAACAAAGAAAATCCCCTTGGCCCGGAAAGAGAAAAGGAGAGATATTGCCAACCCATATCTTTAACAACCGCACATGTATAATAATATGCTTCGTGATGTTAGGCTGTTGGTTCCCCAAGCTCTAAGAAAGATCGAAACCATATAACGCAAGCAGTACAAGCGATTAATGGGGTGGGGAGATCGAACATAGAACCCCGTATGCACAAGTAAACACTTTTACCCACTTGATCTACAAGTCCAAAATGTTTTGCATCAACTATCATCTAACACCATAAGTAAACTAACACGGTTACTCTTTTATATATATGTCATGGACTCATGGTGGAACTTGATACGTTGTAGACTAACAATATTGTTTCTAAAACCATCAGTAATTGATAAGTCAATATTATATTACATATTCTATCATAATCTTAGTTTATTTTGGTTATTATTTTGGAAGAATGTTGATACTTTGAATTATTGATCACCGTTTTCAACTATCTAATTATCTTAATGCTTGATCACCATTAGAATTTTTAGAAAAGTAATTTGATGTAATTTTGGCCGGAAGGTTCCCTGAAATTGACGCTGGTTTCTTGTGGTTAATAATTGTAATTTCACTTATGAACACCACGTCTTAAGGGTTGCATGGTTTTACAAAGGGTTTTCACAAAACATAATGAGTCTCTCATGTTCATATTTAATCTGAACATCTAGATGGATTGCATGTTAGATATACGTTCTATGTTGGAGGTTTCAAGTATAATATATATTAGGAAAACCTAACTTTCAAAGTGGCATGTGTAGATCATAAGTAACTGGTAAAAATACATAGGATAGCTAGGTGATGGCCGAACTCTAGTGCTTTTATAAATTGGTATTTAAAAATTCTTTTCTTTTATCATATTAATTTTGAGCGAATTTACTATTTGTTTTTAATTAAAATTCGTTTTAATATTACCCAAATTCAAAATCTCCTTTTTAAATTTTTAGTTTTAATTTTAAGTAGTTAATTAGGAATTGCTCTTACATAAATTATTTAAATAGTCATTGTGGAGAACAACCTTCATAAATTATTTAAATAGTCATTGTGGAGAATGACCTTGCATGAGCATCTATACTACAACACCATTGTACTCTTGCAAATATTATGTGTCATTTTAACCTTCTTCTCGTAGGTACTAAAAATCCTATCAGTAATCTAAGAGTTAATTAACACAAAGCAATCATTTTATGATGTGTGTGCCCCCTTCAAGATGCAATTTAGATTTCGAGCTTTTAATCGTTTTCGTGAGACCACCATGTATGATGTTTGAACCGCCTTCATCGAATGATTAATGACAAATTGTACTCTAGGGAAGATAAAACACACATGACATTGTTAAGGATTCCATGAAAAACTGAATTTCTAGGGTCATGAGTGTCAAGATCAATGATTGATCAGGAGAAATAGATACCTTTGGTTTTCAAACACTAGCTGGAATATTAGAATCAGATTGTAGACGAGAAATGAATGAAAAGCGGTGATACAAGACAACCAGGAAATTCAAGAGATCCGAAAAGGAACCTAACCACAGGGAGCTGTTTGCAGTGGAACAGTATAGCTTCTCAGTATTCGTGTGTTGTTCACCTTCACTCGTCAATGCCAACTTAGAAACGAGCAAGGAACCTTAAGATTTCTTGAATGATGAGGGTCTCAAACCCAAATCCTTGAAGAAAGTATGTATATATAAGAAGCTCATCGCCTTCTTTAGTTGGGACTGGGAGCCAAGAAACCAAGCTCCTCAATTAACACATCGACATCTTCCTCATCTTCTTCTTGAACACCAAGCAAACCAATTTCTTCATCAATACTCTCATTGAACAAGTCTTGCCAAAACCCCTTATCCAGCTCTTTGCCTCTACTCTCATGTTCCTCTTCTTTCTCTGTACATTCTTCCTCACCATGGACGTTTTGGATTGCGCTTACACCCAGCATATCCATAGCAAATTGGTCCAACTCCAAAACTTCAAACTGATTAGAAATATTACCATATTCTTGCGGTTCAACTTTAACAAAAGTCTCTCCTCCTACTTGGCCTAATTCATCCACCTCAACATTACTAGGGCCTTGCTCAATAGTCCGCCTTCTCTTCTTAGTAATCACTTCCTCAAGTTCTTTCCTAAAGTCCTTCTGCTGCGACAATTGTTGTACAAAGTTGGGATTCTGCATTGCCTTTGCCAAGAAACTCAACATATGTTGCTGTTTCATTTCTGTCCTCTTCAGTCTGTCTTCCATTCCTTGGATGTAAACTCTAGTAGCTTGCTGTTGCTGTCTAAGCTTCACTAGTTCCCCCATTAGTACCTGTTTATCGCGCCTCAACTGATCGATCTCTATGTCCAATCCAAACCTTCCAACTTCAACACAAGAGTCCAAAGTTTTTTGTGAAGACTGAGGGAGATGGGATGCCTTCCTCCTCCTGATATTCTTTAAAAGATGCTTTTTCCCTCTGAGAAACGCTTCATTAGCAAACTCCCATCTATCTGTATCAACCTTCCTAAATCCCTACATTAAGTAATCAAAAAATTTCTTCATGACCACAACATCCGTGTGAAGCTTTAGATCCGACACATCCAACGGAAAAGAAAGCAAAAATAAAAAAATCAAGCAAACAAAACTGATCTATCAGATTATGATATAAAATTTAATATACATCAGAAGCAATAGCAGCTCCCTTTGTAATAGTATCATTCGTATTTTATACATTGGTTTCTGCACTTTCTCTTTTGAAGCCATTTAAGAAACAATATGTCCACATTAAGTAACCCCATTAAACAAACACACAACAAGGACCCAATATAAACAAATAAAAATGACATTTTCTAGCTGTTTCAAGAGCATGAATGCATAAAGTAGTCAGATCTAGAGAACCCCACAAATATGTATACAATATAAAAATAAAAACAAATTCATCTAAGCAATACTTTAATCTAATCTAAACTACGAGAAGAAAAATTCGAGCTTTGAGTGCAAAAGAAGAGCACACTGCTCTAATCAACATGGCTATACTCAGGCTCGGGTTTGCAAGCTTTGCAATATTCAAATAAAAAGGGATACTAGAGAGTGATATATACTTACATAGGTGTTGAGCTGCCTGACAAAGCTGGAGAAGTTGTTATGCTTGAAATATCTGGGGAGAAGACTCATCGCAAAGCTATTGGGATCCAAAACAACAAAGCTGTTGTTGTCTCTACTCCATGAAACTATGTGATTGGTTGATGGGTCGTCAACGATGTCATAAGTTTTGGTGAGAAATGGAGGAGGGCCTTGGTCATAGAGCCTCTCCAGTGGTAGAGGATGATCGGCGACCGCACTCGAAGACGAAAAGCTTACTGCGTCTTGATCAAGATTCATTTGTTTGTATGTATAGTAAACTTCAGTTACTATTTACTGACCTGGGTTGCTGTCTTTTTGTTCTTTTTTTTTTTTTGTGACAAAAAAATTGAACTTTCTGGTGGCACTGGAGACTGGAGTGTTTGTTCAAATGGGTTTTGGGAATGCAGGTAGAAATATTATTATAACAAAGAAATATTAGTATAGTAAACTTTGAAAAAAAATACAGAGAAATGGTTGTGAGAGAGAGAGAGAAAGAGAGAGAGAGAGAGAGATAAAGCTATCTTGTTGCTATGGAGACGAAGAAGCCCAAGAGACTGGGAGCTTAAGAAACAAGAAGGCAGCTGGGTTTTCTGGTTTTAAGACAACAGGCAACTTGGAGGGTTGGGAGTTAGGGGTACCCAACAATTTATAAATAAGGGGTAGTAGTGCCTTTTTGCTTTTTTCCCATTTCTTCCCTTTTTCTTTTTTCTTTTTGGCGAGACAAAGATTTGTTGGATCGGATGAAGAACAATGATAGATGTCATACATGAACTCTTTTGATTTATTTATTTTTTTTGCCAAATTTCTTCCTCACTCATGAAATGACCACTAATGTTATGCAATGAGTAGGGATGCAAGTAAAGGAGGGTTTAACCAGTAAGGATTCGGATCCAAAAGGAAGCGATATCAAGAGATTAATTGAGTTCGATTTTTCTTTTCCTTACTAATAAAAGATTTGAATCGAATTGATTTGATTTGATTTGAGCTCAAATGAATTGGAGTTTGAATACACTCAAGCTCAATGCTTGAAATTATTTTTCAGCATTGTTGTCTGAATTATCACATAACTCAAAAGTCAAAAATTAAACCTGACAAATATTTTTTCTTGTCTAATACTTATTATAATATGGTCGAAAATCTTTTTTCATCATATAATCTAATAACATAAAGTTGTAGATTAAGTTTATTTTCATATGAATGTATGGTTTAGGTTCAACGTACTCTATAGCTAGCTATTGATTCAAGACAAAAAGGTTGAACTACTAGTTCAAACTTAACACAAAATTTTTTCAGATTGATGGTATAATAACACAAACTCAATCATCTGAAAAGATTTCAAACCCTGAACCTAACTTACTCCTACTTATTACTTTAATCACTCTAGTAAGTTTCAACAGTCCTCTCTTTAAGCCATTGTAGGGGATCAAATTTCAAGTTGAATCCGCTCAAGTTGGATTACTATTTGTGAACCTCACTTTATAAATAATACATTATCTAGAGCATTTTCAATGAAAAATGGCAGTCATAATTTAAGATATTTTAATCCGTCCCAAGTGCTAATGTTCTTTCCCCTTTGGGAAGGCCATTTGGCACATTAGATTTTATCATAGCAATGATAAAGAGAGTGGTACGGAGCTAGCATTTAAGTAAGGTTCATCAATTAGTTTTCCTTCTGGAATTAGTTTTGTCTCTCTATGCCATTTGCAATTGTTATTTTTGTCCCATTTAGATTTAGTTTTAGTTCACCATATTGTTATCCATTCTGTCAAATCGACGTTAAAATAAATGTTAGTAAAATGGTAATATAATTTTTTTTTTGGACTATGCGAGTCATGGGTTAGGAGAGAAGCAAATAATGGATTGTGTTTCAAAATTTAATTTAAGCTACTCATTGAATTCAATGACTTTGGGAGCAGCCTCTCCATAAATGGGGGAAAGGCTAGCCGACATTCACCTCTCCCAGACCCTGCGTAAAGCGGGAGCCTTGTGCACTGGGAACGACGATTGAATTCAATGACTATAGCTATAGCTCGAACCAATCAGCAAAAAAAAAATTGAATTGAGATTGTTTTAGTGGGCAGGTTGGCAAAAAAAATTGTGTCAAAATTGAAATGTTTGCACTATCCTTTAATTTAATTCTATTTAACGAAATGGATTAAAATTGAGCAAATTAAGATCAAATGAGACAAAAATAACAATTTTAAAAAATGAGACAAATATCAGTTTTAGGGGACAAATTAATTAATAAACCTTTAAATAACAGAAAAGTTTTCAAACAATAGTATGGTTGTACTTTATGAATTTAAAATTAGAAGGTTGGAGAACAAGCTGTGGGATTTATCTTGAAAAAAAATATTTGTGGATTTGATTTCGTTGGTCCTCCTATTTTACCAATAAAAATGGGAGTTTTTTTTTAATTTTTTTTAATTTTATTAGGACAAAGATTTACTTTATTTATAACACAACAGATTACATGAAAGAAGACCCAAATACAAGAAACACACAAACAAAAAGATGGACCTCCATAGTAACCCAACAACCCAAAACATAGTTTTGAGGCTTGAACAGGAAAAACATCAAAGTAAGCCCTAACAGCTTCCTACCTCCGCCGTCAACCCGCTTACCAAACGAATAGCCCCCGCAACCATCGGAAAGCAACATAACTATAGTCCCAAAGCTAGATGAAAACAGAGTAACAACAGGACCCCAAAACAGAACCCCAAACTCCTCCAAAGCACACCATAGCAATAGCTGCCACAAGTCGAAGGAAACAGGTGGGTATTTTGGTATAACCCTATAACTGGAACCCATTATACATGCATACATGAACACTTAATATTAAAGGCCAACTTTTTTTCATAAAGCATATTACAAACAAGCGAGATCACAAGAAAACTATCATTAACAATCAAGATCACGTCAAAGTCACCGCTAACAAATGAACCATTTAGTTAAGTTTTGATGAGTGAACTTAAACATAAATATAGAGTAAACTTTACGAAGTGCAAAAACAGCCGACGTGTAAATTGTAATTGGGTTGAAAGAGATGGTGAAGGTTTCATTGCAACTTGGAATTTCTGCTGCTCCGAGTTGAAAATTATTCACGTAAAAGTTAAAACACAATAAAATAAACAGTTTAGGAGACCAATTGTGATTAAACAAGTGCTTAAAATAAGTAATATTTTAAGGGGCTATAAGATGAGTGTAGAACTGCATGGAATATAGACGACAGAAATATAATTTCAAAAAGCAGATTAGGACTGAAAAGTGCGATTAGGGGGTCCATTATCTAACTTTAATAAGAATCAAATTTGGTCTTGAATTATTGCACCTGGATCCGGTAACCATAATGTGATATCCGGTTCTTTGTCATCACCTAATCTCACTCAAGAAATACGAACACTCGGGAAATTGCTAGACAGAAACAAAACCAAAAAAGTCATAATTGACAACTAGGAATAGTAATCAAGTTGCGTTTGGATCGATTCTAAAGTCAAGCGCAATTCAAATCCGAATTTTCTTTGCAAGTGCAACACTGGAGTGAAAGTGACATCATGTGCACCAGAAAATACTCGTAATTACTTGATTTACAAGCTCATTAATCGTACATTCCTCTAGCTTCCAACTCCTCTGCAGTATCGAAACCAAGTGAAAGCCTCCTCAACTTCTATAAGCATTTGGAAGAAGCTAAATCAAAAGGATAGTATTCAACCCATGTTTTGGATCATTTCAATTTGCATGTCAAGTATTAACCAGTTCTAATCCATCCTATTTTAACTCGGTAGAAAGCCCCAAAAGAAAGCTTTTGTTGTTTTGGGCTTCGGCTAGGCAGCCTAGAACCACTCAAAATGACGAAAAATTTTTCTGCGCAACCATCACACAGTCACGTAATATTATCAATCTATTATATTGTGTCTAACATATTAATTTGCCATCTAATAACATCATGCGACAATTTAACCATCATACGAAAAAGTTTTTCCAATGTCACGAGTTTGGCTACATCATCAAAAACATTGTAAACCACAACGCAAGTATATGTCATAGCTTCCAAATCTGAATGAGGTGTTGGGCTGAACCAGAAACAAAAAGGAGCCGTCACCTACTTCTAGCATGCCAGGGATGTAAGGTTACGCTGGAACCATAAACACTCACAATATAACACAATAGAACTATATAATTATTAAATAAGGAGAGGTTATGTATCATACATAAAGAACATCTCGTAAGATACTCGGAATTATTCAAGTTTACGGAAAGGCCATGCTACTACTACAACACAACTTAACAAGCATCACACAACACTCTTAAGCCACAGCTTACATCCCAGACAATACAACCATGTGTAACTTTTTCATAGCCAATACCATATTTCGTTATTTGTAAACCCCACATTTAGAAGCAAACGCCAGATTCTATGCCGCAGCGTTAACTGCATGGTCACCAGTTTCCTTGTGCACAAAAGCTTTAAGATACTCCTCCCTGCAAGAAAGGTCCCTTTGTGAGAAGACTCAAAGCCTATCGGGCATTCTATCGCATGCATGAATGGAAGTAGGTAAGTCCAAAATGTAGAGAAAGACAGAACTATACCTTGCAGGAAGATGATCATGAGGACGGTTAAAGGGGGTCCAAACTGGATCGCCAATAAATAGACGCATTGCCTGCATCAAACATATGTTTTTTCAGAACATCCTTAAAGTTCATAGATTAAACACTATAAGGTAAATTGTGACTTCTTAATTGACACTACACCACAGACACAGACATAAAAACTGTAATGCCTGGCAACTCGAAGGCACATGAAATCATTATTCTCATCTACATTACAATTAATGCACTTTGGTGAACTAGTCCATCAAATGCCATATCAAGTGCTGATGTCTACCTTAGTGTTATGTGACAGTGCTTCAACTACTTAGGCGTCTTTTGTCACAAGTTCACTGGGAAATCACGATGACAAAGTACACACCAATGAATGATAGGGAGGCATAAGATGAGACAAGATCTTGTTTTCTTACAAAAGAAAAAAAAATTGAATCAAATAATGGAAGATCACATCCTGAACCCTCATCATCGTCCCATAAATAATATGCTTTTAAAAATAGTTGGTGCCACAAAATGCAGAAGTGTGTCTTCATACAAGCGTAATGAGACTCCACTTAACTGGAGAAAAGAGAGAAGGGGTAAAAAACAAAAAGCAGTCGTTAGAACATTTTGGTGCTATGAACTAATACCTTTATGTAGTTGTTTGTGTCCAAAGTGAATCGGTGATAAATTCCAGCAGGCAAAACAATCATTCCCCCCTTTTTCAGCCATACGCGAATCCAACGTTCATCGTGGTCCCTAACATCAAAATAACCTTCACAAAAACGTACACAATCATTAAACAGAAGAGGTGAGTAAAGAAGGTATAACATACTGCGATAAAGCATAACTAATCCTACCACTTCCATCCACAGCATATCGGATTTCCTCATCAGTGTGAAGATGTTCCTCAAAGAAATTTTTTATCTTCTCCTCATAATTAGGAAGCTTTTCAGGGCAAACCT